TACCGGCGGCAAACAGACAGTTAAGCTGCATATATATATATATATATATATAAATTGTAGTAAGCTCGCCTAAAAGTTACCAAGAGCTGCTGCTCCAAAAGGTTTAACACGTTTTCAAAAAATTATACACATGAAAATCAAATCATTAGACATGTAAAAACATTAATAAAATTAAAACAGAAAAAGTTAAAAAGTAAGCGGAAAATGGTAAATTAGCCCAATTCGACTTCCAAACAGGCTTTTCAAGGGAAATTTTCATTTATTTGAACGTCGAGTCAAGCTAACCCCATTACGCGTTTCGCCGAAACAGACAATTGAAACTTTTTCGCTAAATTTTTTTTTAAAAATTAGACAAAGTGTCTTGGAAATTTTAATAGTCTCAATTCTCTATTCCAATTTCCCGACGCGTCCGCTCAGAATGACACATTAAGGTGTTAAAATATGTTAATCAAAAAACTAAACTTCCTAAATCTAGACTAAAATTAAAATTAAAATCAGAAACGAAATAAATAGCGATGAGCTATTAGTCCTAAAAATACAAAACATACGGGCTGGGCCTGCAAGCTTAAAGATTAACAATTTAATTTTTAAATAGTAGATTTTAGAAAACTGTAATGAAAACCTGTTATTAATATAAAATAAAACAAAAATTAAGAAGAGAACAAACTAAGTGGGTCTTGCTAAGACCAAGAAAAAGTTGTAACAAAAGAAACAAACTAGCTTGAAGAATTACGACTTTTTTAACAAATGACTGTTTTTTCCTTTTTCTCTTGCTTTAATGGCCAAGTTTTTATAGTTTTAGCTGAATTAGCCATTTTCACTTCGAAAAAAAAATTTTTTTCCATCCTACTACAAGCCAAGCGCCATTTTTGAGATCTTTACACGGTTTCCGAGGTTTCCGGCCCCCCTTCGATTATATGAGACGAGTTGCAGATAACGAAAATCTCTTCGCATTGGCTAAATGCCCACAGCACTTCGCTCCCCCCTACCTACGTCATCCAAATGAAAGAACAAGAAGTATGGCAGCCATTTTTCAACAAGTTTTAAGAGGGACAGCTTTGCATAGCCAAAGGTCAGTTTTTGTTTCTTTTGTTACAACTTTTTCTTGGTCTTAGCAAGACCCACTTAGTTTGTTCTCTTCTTAATTTTTGTTTTATTTTATATTAATAACAGATTTTCATTACAGTTTTCTAAAATCTATTACTTAAAAATTAAATTGTTAATCTTTAAGCTTGCAGGCCCAGCCCGTATGTTTTTGTATTTTTAGGACTAATAGCTCATCGCTATTTATTTTCGTTTTTGATTTTAATTTTAATTTTAGTCTAGATTTAGGAAGTTTAGTTTTTGATTAACATATTTTAACACCTTAATGTGTCATTCTGAGCGGACGCGTCGGGAAATTGGAACAGAGAATTGAGACTATTAAAATTTCCAAGACACTTTGTCTAATTTTTAAAAAAAATTTTTAGCGAAAAAGTTTCAATTGTCTGTTTCGGCGAAACGCGTAATGGGGTTAGCTTGACTCGACGTTCAAATAAATGAAATTTCCCTTGAAAAGCCTGTTTGGAAGTCGAATTGGGCTAATTTACCATTTTCCGCTTACTTTTTAACTTTTTCTGTTTTTAATTTTATTAATGTTTTACATGTCTAATGATTTGATTTTCATGTGTATTAATTTTTTGAAAACGTGTTAAACCTTTTGGAGCAGCAGCTCTTGGTAACTTTTAGGCGAGCTTACTACAATTTTTATATTTTACTTATTTTGCAGCATATTGCGCAAGATGTTTTCTAGACAAAAATGTTTTTTTTTAATTGTTATTACTGCTTTGCTTGATAAATTATATATATATATATATATATAGGGAGAAGTAACATCATCTCCTCCGAAACGGCCGGCTCCCGGGCTTAGCGAAGCACACCGTTGGATTCCGCAGGTCCGTGGCACGCCATTTTGACCATTCGCGTCTTCTTGGGACTTTAATAAGCCGAGATATTAATTAAAAAATAATTTTCCTCTACGTTTTCCCTACATTTTTCACTTCTTTTCTTGGGTTTTCCGTATTAGAAGGATTTGGCTACGTGTCAAATTCATTTTTTTTCCTCGAATATCTATGGAACGGCGCCGAATTGAAATTCGAGACGCGTATCCTCGGATTTCAAAAAATTCTCCAAATCCATCGATACCGTTCTCCTCTTCGCACGACTTTATTCGGCCGAGATATTAATTAAAAACTGCGGAAACGTTAATTTCCGCACTCATTTTTCCGAGTGGCAACAATAAACTATCGGCGACACACACTTTAGCCGCTTATATATATAAAGAAGTTTCATAAAGGTGAATGTATAAGGTACTTCTCCCGCCTTCCTAGCGTGCCTTCGTGGTGTAGTGGTTCTGCACGCTGGGCCGGCATTCCAGAGGTCCGTGGTTCGATTTCCGGCCAAGGCGTTTGCTCATTTTTCATCTTGCCTGCTTCCAAAATACCTAATGTCTCTACAAATGCACTTTATACGCCAAGATACCCTTACGAGGTTTTTTTCAGGTTTCAGTTTGCTGCTCGGATTAACAAGGGAATGAAAGTTCTACTTGCATGACTATGCCTTGGCATAAAGGTAGCGACATTTTTATGACAGGCGCTGCACTTATGAGAACCCTTCTTATTTTAACACCAAGTGCCTACCGAAAACTTTTTCTCGATTTACATTGTTTCGATTTCAGTTTGTAGGTCTAGAAAGAATTATTATGTAAGTCCATGTATTATTGTATACATCATGTTATTTTGTTAAAGAATGTCTTATATTTATTATGCATAACCATCATGTTAAGCATTTTTATGGCCTGAACTTAGCATGGTATGACTAGAGAAAATTGAGGTAGACATCACATGATCCTATTAAATTATATACAATTTTTTGTAGCACTTCATTTAAATTTATTTCCTCGAATAGTTAACCGAACCCTCAAGGCAAGTTCAAAGTGACATCAAAAACTACAAATTCTCCCGATCAATTTTTGTTGTATGGGAGTCAAATTTCTTTAATTTTATTTTTTCATAACAAGTATAAAACTTTCCCAAATATAAGGATAGGAACACGGAGACCTAATTATAAGTTAGATTTCATTATTTGTCGAAAATAATTTTTTTTTTTAAATTTGATGTTGCCAAAACATGAATATTTTCGTCATTTAAAACACTTCTGTGTTTGGAAGTATATGAGTACCACAAATGTTTGCGAAAATAAAGACCCAGGTACGGACTTTGAGCTGGGTAAAGGGGTATGTATGTATATATATAATTAAGTGCAGAATTAGAAGCTATAGCAGTCCCATATACGAAATTTCAATGTTCTTTCAATGTTCAAATCAATTATGTTTCAATATGCGAGGAAAAAGGAATTCTTTATTCTGCTCGTATGCATAGACGTCCCTCAAACAAAACAAAAAAAAAAAAAAAAAAAAGTCCAAATGATTTGGGAACTTTCAAAATGGATATTTCCGTTGAAATATGCTATCCCAAAACTTTCGTGATTACAATATTTCCTTTATTTTCCTTTACAATACTTTCTTTACTTCAAGGGTGTAAAAATGAGATGTGGATTTAGCATAACGAGGTTTTAGATTAAAACCGATTCTTATGAATAATGAAACTCATTCCAATGGCAATGAAATCTAGTATGCTATTCTTTGGTATGTATTTTACCCTTTTACAAATTTATATATATTCTTCTGAGCATTTCGTTTTAGAATATGAGTTTTAAAAAAATGTATTGCTATGTAACACTACATTCTTAATTTTCTGTTGCTTTCATTAATCTCCTTTTTAACTTGTTACAAATATTGCATGTGATTGAACTGAACTGAAATCCTAACACTAAAAATATTTTTTTGTGAATAATAATTAATAAAAAATTTAGCATGTAGTTCCTTCTGTCATTTTAGAGCGTACATTTGAAAATACGCTGGAAAATTTTCCCACAGAATCGTGATTAGATTTTAAAAGAAAGCTGTAATTTTCATTTCAAATTATATCGTTATAACGATGTCAAAGATAGGATGTTTCAGGCAACACTTTCAGATTTTACTTTTCTTTGTCATAAAAAGGTACAACAAAAAAATTGGAATGAATTTCAAAAAGAATCTATTTTTTTATATGGCGCAATATCATATACTTCATTTCTATGCTGAAACAAATTTTTTGCTTTCGTATTATTGATTTTCCCTTCGTTATATTTCTATGACCTTCTCTAATTATGAAAATAATCCTCTTTTTTTCCCAAAGAAAGAATATGTTGGTGGTAAAAGATATTTTTAAAATGGACTTAAGTGCTCTCTTTCATAAGACACTTTTTATTAGCAATTAAAATTAATGTACTTTTTTTTACGAGTATTTTAAATTACTTCCGAAAGCAAAAGTCAGCAAAATAAAAACGGGAGTCATATAATTAAAAAAAGTGTTTAAAAGGTCCCAAAGAAAGCATGAAATTCAATATTTGTTTAACAAAATGACTTTAAACATTTAAACTTCTATATTTCACTAGTTCATAATGAATGCTTCCCTCCCCTTTCGAGGAAGAAGTATCTGTGTGTTAAAATATAAAGTCGCCACTTTTACCTGAGTATAACTTCGCTAAACGGAAATTAAAAAGACGGAAAAAGATTCCACATTCCACATTTAGTATTATTTCTAAAGCACCTCTAAGAGTCTTTCGAAATATCCATATAAATATGTTTAATGAAGCAAGAACTGTAATTATTGTGTACATTAGGGACGGAAATTGCTAAGAAATTCGAAAATATTAAAATAAAATTCTTCATTATAACATTTTATGAAGATATAAAACGCCCCAAAATTATTAGCTCTTTCATTATTATGTTATTGTATTAAAAGATTTATTTATTACAATTGTTTAATGTGTAAATCCATTCAGGCGGTTGTGAATTGCAACTTTTTTCAATTTCAAGGTTTTTCCTAATTCAAGCTTTGTATATTTCTGTTTTTCAGGTATGGACGCAGTGTTGGACTTCATAAAAAAAGTCAGGTTGTAAGTGTAAGCATGTTGGTTTTCTTATGTGTGATGCGCATGATATTAAGAAAGTATTTTTCTATTGCATATTTCATATTTATATAGCAAGACTTAAATTGAGTTATTTTTTTTTTTTTTTACTTTTTCGCAAATAAATGACTATCAGAATTTGAAGCCGAAAATTGAAATGAACACGATTGAAATTCAATGAAACTGGACCCCAAACTATTAATTTTTATAAATAATTAGCTATATTACTCTGCTTCTCCTGCGAGTAGCTCCAGCGAAGGTTAAATAACAGAAATAAAATCAAAATATGCTTAGAATTCTTCATACTGTTCGTAATTGCTATTACTTATAGACTTATATATTAAATCTTTAAATAATATTTTTACTTTTTTTGTAGGACTTAGAAGTTCTGAAAGTAGTCAGAAGAAAAGTACTGAGAAGCAAAACAATATAATTAATAATTAACAATGATTCTTCATTTCTGGTGTATAACGAAATATGCATAGACAAAAGAATTAATGCGTACTTCAATTGTTTTATACTAAAAGTTATTAATTTTTCTAAACAATACAATGGATGGAACTAAATATAATATCTGTTAGATAGAATAATCGGTTCCAATAGTGAAATGCAGGACGACGACATTGACCTATTTGAAAGACCTACTAGAAAATTCCGAATGTCAAATCACTAAAAATCTTGTCGATTCATAGATCAAACAAAAGTGCAGAACAAATGATTATTAAATAATAGCAAACAGGAAATGTTAAACTTTGTAGGATTGGCAACAGAAAGATGAAGATATTCACCCAGAGAGAAAGATCTCCGAGTCGTATAACGGCATAACGAGATTTGATTGATGTCGGAGCAGATAAAATTCAAATAAGAATATCACAGCAAATGGTAATACTTACTTAACTGTAAAGAATAGATGATTAGAGTTAGCAACGAGAGATATGAATTCTAAGCATGTAAGACGTCGGCCGTGTTCTAAAAGTGTGCGTGGATTTGTATTTTGCGTATGCTGTAGTCCATTAAAATGGATTGCCGAAAAAGAAAGTGTTAATTTATTGCGTCAGTTAGTTTAAATATACTTCGAACCCACATTAGGATAAACAAAAATAATATGTTTTAGTTATTTAACCTTACTTATCGACTTAAATTTCTGTCGTAAAAATTCTCTTACAAACGGATATATATAATACTCGAAAAATTATTTAAACAAAAAAATCTGAAAGTTTTTCAGATTTTAACTATCATCTAAAATGATTTATTAAGGTTTTTTACGTTCTCGCTAAGCTCGCAATCTACCACTCTGCTGTTGCACTCGCTCCAGCTAACTCGTTTCTTTTTGTATTTTTAGCTTTATTATTATTTCTTCGCACTTACGCCATATATAATTCTTCAGTTAAATCGCAAAACTTTTAAAAGCAGCATATGTTTAAATTCCCGATGCAAGTGTTGGAGTACATTTTTCTATTTTTTCAGCCTTTTGTCAGTTCATTTTATCAATGTTCAGTTTTCTTAGCAAGATCGCTTGCAAAACGTTTTTTTCTTTCTTTTGTTAACGTTTTATATGCTTACTTTGTTTATTAAATATTATGTTCTTACCGCTTACGCCACATAAAGTTCGATTCAACGGCAAAATAACAAAATATTTACAAACAACATATCTTCAGAATTTCCGATAGATAGTCTTGAGCGCTGGAAATACAGTTATAAAACAGTTTAGCCACCGCTCGCTCTGAAATCATTGAATGTGTTAATCAAAAATTCATTAAAGTTTTACATAATGTGTAACAGGTAATAAAACTAATTTGAAATTCAAAATTCGGGCTTCCAGGCGTCCATGTTCGGGTGGAAGACTACGTTAATCAAAATTTGATGGCTGAACGCATTCTTTTTTGACAATGCGAGAAACGTACATACATTCATGCAGATTCTTCATTATTTAATTTCTTTAACTATAATACAGGGCGTAACAGTCTTTAGCTATAATACAGGGTATTATAACTATAATACAAGTTAACTGTAGATTTGGTGGCAAAAATTAGAAAAAGTGATACGCCGTTTTTATTGATTCAACGCAAAATGCCGCTTCGAGACTAATATTCTGTTCGGAACTAAACTTCCCTTTTGCGCTTACAATAATGACTATTTTACTGAATCAGACAAATCTTTCACTATCATTTCTGGTAGCAAACAACATGGACTTTCATGGACATTTTTATAACAAACAACTTTACTGGATCCCTTTGTGGCACTACAGTATTTGATAGTATTTTAATTTTGAACTCAAGAAATCTCCCCTTGCTCCAGAAAATAGGACTGTTTTCTTTCAGTCTTTATTTATTAATCATTTTAACATAATAAAGGTGATTTGTCACAGTAAACTGCATTATATTTTGCATAAACATATTTTCCAGTAACATTTGTCGAATATTGTTTTTAAAATAATTAAGTAATACTAGATCGAACCTTAAAAACATGTTTTTCAGAAGATTTCCAATATTTCGGCTAGAGTTGATGTGCATTTTTTCCTTCTCTGCATCAAATTTGCAACAAATACACTGTTGTTTGTGAAAACTGGAATTTCGCATTTCTGTAAAGGACCGTGCGAATAATCTGAACAGCATTTTATGAATAGTTGTGTTAAACGCACAAATAGAGGGCTGTAGCTGAACGTAAAAAGTTGTTTCGTTATCTGAGAGAGTTAAACGTTTCGCAAGAAGTCGTTATAACCTCACTAAAGACAAAGAGCCCGATAGAAACAAGTTATGCCCTTTGAACGAGGACAAATCTGCCTGGGAGAAGGAAGATCTTAAGTGAAATCGTTACTCGTATAGGACATAGTGCCTCGTCAGTGATGGGCGGGTAAAAGCAAGTGCTCAAGAGAATTAAGAAAGTTCGCAAACCTAGCAGCGTGCCGCGAAATGTTAAATCAACACGAGATCACAGACACCTCTTCCGCACGACAGTTATTGACCATGCAGCTTCACTTCGACAGCCGGCACAACGACACTTCTACAGGTGTGCCTTATTCGGCTTCAAAAGTTCGCTGGTGTCCGCTGCGCCGTAGATTACATGCATGAATTCCTTTGCACGCAACGAGTATGAGCTCTTATTGCAGCTCACTGCATTTCACAAATAATCATTTTGGGCATTAAATATTTTTGAATTGCCCTGTAAATTTAATCGTTTCTTGGTACCGCTACATGTCGTATGTTGATTTCTTCATGCTGTTGCTATTTTCACAAATGGGAGCGTATTTTCCGCAAGTGAAGTGAGGATAATTTTTTATGATTAGGGACACAAAATCCGCATAACGGAAACAACCCTCTTCGATGTTTTAAGAAATATAAAGAAGCAAGTTAAAATCTTTGGCTCTTGGAAAGGCTGGAATTTGAACACGAGAAAGGCTCTAGTTTGTTTTCTGACGATATAGCATTCTAAGTGTCCTTCTCATTATAAAGTAACCGATTATTTTAGAATAAAGTTGCATGTACAAATAACCATTGACTTTTGTTGCAGGATTAAAATTGTTATTAACTCATAAAACTAAATCTATACTTCTGAATATAATTAAAACTCAATTGTACCATGACATAGAATAAACAGAAAGAACATCAAAATATATTACCATTAGAATAAAATTAAAAAGAAAAAAGAAATATGGAGTGGTTTTATTGTGCTTGTAGCAGAAACTTGCTAATCACTACTCGATTTTATTTTGGATGCAGACGATAGTTTACTCAAAAAGCATATTTTGATATTTTGCAGTTGACCTATTATTAAGGTGTTACAAATATATTTTATCGATTGCATTTAAAGATATAAAGTACGGTAGTTGCAAAATATTGTTAAGAAGCCCAGATAAAGTAATTTTTAATTGATTGTACTAAAATTATATTAAGCAATGTGAAGAGAAACGAAAGATTTTATGCACTGTTAATTGCAGCAACAGGCGTTTATTAACCGATAGGACCTTTTTGCAAACTGGAATAAATCACATTTATTTCAAGTGTTAATAAACTTAAAAAATCTTTGGCAATATAGTCTCTAATTCGATCCTGGGGAAGGGTCTCGTCCTTTTCTTTACGATACCTCGTTTCAAATTTCCTCTTCTTTGCAATGCAATCAAGCTTTACAAAGTAATCTGAAAAAAGGCAAAACACTCTGTCGCAATTATTTTCCGCAAAGTAAATGAGTGAAACTGAAATCTTTCATTTCAATGAAAAATCCTTTCATTGCATAAATCATTTTCATGCAGAAATTTGAAAATCACGCTTTAGACGCATACACGAACCTACACGTCATTTAGTGTAAAGTATCTAAAATATTTTCGCAATGAATGCACGAAACAACATTATTTTCAACTTCCTCTTACAGATTATGGAGCAATACTCTTTTATGAAGTAAACGAAACACCACGAGTGAGAAATATTTCTCAAATTCAAGTCAGCATAGATTTACTATAGCTGTCGCAAGAGCATCTGTAAAACTCTATTAAAGGTAATATCATACAGTTCCATTAAAGATAAGTGCTCTTTAATCCGCACGGATGAATTTCATAATAGTAGAAGTTCAATGCATTTTAGAATATTAAGATCAAGTAAGTGATGTCATTTTATATTAAGTATCACTAACATGGCATGACATCTAAACTAACAGTGCTTACTTAATGTACTTTTCAACAGTCTTCGTAATCTTCATGTGTCATTTATTTCAGCTTATTAACACACGAAACACGCATCGAAGAGAAACACATTTATCTGAATTTTGAAGTTTAGAAATCGTATAAATCTAAATACATAGAGCAAAGTTTTAGGAGTAATCTAGTTAAAATTTGAAAATAAGGAAATTGAAAACAATGTTGTTACCATATACCAGGAAACCTGCCAAACGATAATTTACAGTATTTATTACTATGATATCTCAACTTACTTTTTTGAAATATCGTCTGCTTACAGGCAGTATTGCTTTGATACAGTGAACACCTGCTATATGTA